CTCAAGATATCCTCGCATAACAGGATGATTAATAAATGGAACAATTAGTGATAGTGTCAATCGATTGAAAGAGGATGTTTCAGAAATTAGGAATTGCTGGAACCAAAAATAGGCCATTGATCCTTCTTTTTACTTCTCAAGATATCCTCGCATAACAGGATGATTAATAAATGGAACAATTAGTGATAGTGTCAATCGATTGAAAGAGGATGTTTCAGAAATTAGGAATTGCTGGAACCAAAAATAGGCCATTGATCCTTCTTTTTACTTCTCAAGATATCCTCGCATAACAGGATGATTAATAAATAGAACAATTAGCGATGGTGTCGTCGATAGAAAGAGAATATTGGAGAAATTAGAAATTGCTCGATCCAAAACCATTGATTCTTCTCTTAATTCTCAAAATATCCTCGCACAACAGGATGATTAATAAATGGAACAATTAGTGATAGTGTCAATCGATTGAAAGAGGATATTTGAGAAATTAGAAATTGCTGCAATCAAAAATAAGTCATTGAGCTTTTTCTTTATTTCTCATGCTATCCTCGCACAACTGAACTATTAATAAATGGAACAATTAGTGATAGTGTCGGTCGATAGAAATATTTGAGAAATTAGAAATTGTTGGAACTAAAAATAAGCCATTGATCCTTCTCTTTATTTCTCATGCTATCCCCGCACAACAGAACGATTATTAAACGTTTTAATCGACTTTATTGAAGATTTTAATGAAAATTCGCGAGGATTAGAGGAAGCACGTGAAATTGAAGCCTGGATCGGTTCTTTCTAGAGCAAATCTCAGGGACGGAGAATGGAAACCGTCGCGGTATTACGTTTCTAATTGAATCCCCGGCCGATGCACGAGACAGCTTTCAGCCTGATAATAACTCTATTACCAAACCAAAGGCAGAGGAGCGATACTTCGCCGCGTTACGAAACGAAGATCGAGTTCCGTCTGGTTCGCGGAAAATTCAATGGAACTTTCTTGGCGACAGAAAATTATAGCCTCGTCTCTTATAGCTGACGCGATTCTCGAGGTGAACGATGAAAATATCGGGTTATCCGGTAAATGAACGATACAGACTCGCTTACAGCGTGATTCATTAATATTACAACGTCATCAACGATGTGTATTTAAAGCGTTCGTATTCCAACGGATGAAATACGAGATTTACAATTCAAATACATATTCAAAACTGAATTAGGAATCAGTTTAACGCGACCTTAACACTATTTCTACCAACCGGTGTCAAGAGTCACCTATTGAAATTTTCGTATAAAATTATTTTTATAGGAAAAAGTATTAAACTAGTAATAATAATTTTTTTGCAAAAATTTCAGGTGTTTTTTGACGATAGTAGAAATAATGTTAATTATGATATGAATTGAGTATTTGAATTTACGTAATGACAAATATATTAATATGTTCCATTCACTTTTAAATATACTATTTATAACACACATCGTGAGAGGATATACATATGTGTCATTGATTAGATAAATTTGATAGAACACAATGAATGCAAATGAATTTCGTACTGCGGAACTTGATACTTGGCACGACTCGTGTAAGAGGCCTGTCCCAATTTCTCAAACGGATTCGACTTTCAACGGATCGATCTCGATCGCAATCCAGTACGCCCACGACGTCCGGCCGTCCATCCGGCTGTTTCCGGAAGTAGGCGTAGGTTGACCGAAATTGATATCTACGTACACTCGGGGTCACAATTCTTACATCGAAACCGCATCGTTGTTAATCGCATTTGGAGAAATGCGGAAGGAAGAAATGGAAAGTTACTCTAAAAAGGTGTATCAAATATTTCACAGCTTCCATTTGATTTTGTAATATATTTAGAATATTTGTTACCTCCATTTATAGAGGTAGCAATAATTAATTGGACCGTTTATTATATGCTTATAGTTATGCTTAATTTAGCATGAATTACGTGATATCTCATTTTTCTCAAAAATGGACTTACACCACTTTCAAAATAATGGTCCAATTATAAGCCTAATCTGATTTTGATAAT